CAACTGCATCAGATTTTTGGCAGCAGCATTACAAACTGACACCCTCTGAGCTTGTTGTCAGTCTCTCAGCCCAGGGTTGTTAGGGTTTTTCTTTATGCTGCTATAAGGCCATTTATTCCCCCGTCATTTTTGTGTGTAGCTGGGCACAAGCACTGGGCTTCATATTCTTACCTGTTTAAGTCAACCCAACTTCCTGAGGGAAACTCTGCGGCTCTGTCTGGCCATGAGTTCCTGCTGTGGGCTGGCTATAGGCCAGACTTTGGCATTGACGCCAGAGTGGCCAGACTTCTGTGGAATTTGGCATCCCAGGCAGCTCTTGGTGACTGCAGACAGATCCCATGGTAGCCAAGCCCCACAGGGAATAGGCCCTCAGCCCCAGCAGACAGAACGCTTGTGGGTGGAGCTAGAAAGTCTCAGCCTGGCAAGGGACAATCCTAGGGGACTCGCCTCCCGCCTGCTGTAGCCCCTGGGAAGTCTTTAGTCCACAACCTCAGTGGAGCCTACGACAGAAGAAGCTCCCTAGGCGCCAGACACGGGTGGCCAAGGCACATTCCCAGGCTCCAGTCCAAAGGACAGCCTCTGGGAGCTCTTCCCCTGAAGCTTTTGGAAAGGAACTTTTGGGCTCAGTTCATCCTTGGGTGTCTTATTTGTATACTTCTGTGGCTAAGGAGAGCTGGGCCAGCCTTCATGGTATGATTACCCCTGTCAGTTCATCCTGTGACTGTCTGTGGAGTTCTCCCATTAGAGCTTTATGTATGGGATTTTAAAGGTTTTTCCTGGAATCACAGATTCTCATGTTTGGAAGGAACTATAGTGTTCATCTACTCTATCTCATAATTAATGCAGGAATATTCTCAGCAATGTCTTTGTCAGGTAATTCTCTCATCTCTACATGAACACACCCACGTCCCAAGACAGCCTCTTACACTGTTTTAACTATAAAAAGTTCTTCCAATAAGTGAAAGTCTGTCCTGCTGGAGCTTCTGTCCATTGGCCCTGGTTCTACCCTGTGCTCTGTGATCTCCCGTGACTGTCTCTGAAAATAACAGTTCTGTGGGAGAACATCTTAAGATGATCTTGACCAATGTCCAAGGTGATTCGTTGGCAGCCATCAATGGTACAGGGTGAAGCCCTGGGGGAGGGGACTAGCAAGAACCAGTCTAGTGGCTCCACAAACTATGAATTTTGCTGTCTTTCATCTGAGTATCCCTCTCGGCAATGAGGCCATGTTACTGATGACTTGTCAGGGAGCTCAGAAGAGGCTGTACCGTTACAACAGAATAAAGTTCCCCAACACCCAGGAATGGGAACATACTGCAGGGGGTATTCTATATCATGGGAGTGAGACCTAGGAAACAATGGAGCTTCCAAGGAAAAGGCCTCATCGATATCACTATCACCAGCATTTGTTGTATTTTATTTAGCACCTACTGGGACCAGGTACTGATAGATAGATAGATAGATAGATAGATAGATAGATAGATAGATAGATAGATAGATAGATACATTGATAGATAATCAGTCTCACTTTATAACACAGAAACCTTTTGAATAAAGGCAAGTGCAGAGGAGTAAAATCACTTGCCCAAGGTCACAAAGCTAGTAAATGGAAAGTTTAGATTTGACCCAAAGTCTTCCTAACCCAAAAGCCCAATTCCTCAGTCACGCTGCTACCAGATCTTAAAGCCTTGCTATTGTAGACCTAGGTGCATGCGTGTGTGTGTGTGTGTGTGTGTGTGTGTGTGTGTGTTGGGGGGGAGGGCAATGTGGAGTTAAATGCCAAGCCCCGTCTGAGCATGTCAGGAACCCAGGTAAAAAGTCAACACTGGTGTCCTGTGCTCCCATTACCAAACACTATATCCTGACCTCAGACTTCTCATTCAGTTGGCAGCCAGGTTAAAAGAAAGAAGAGATCACAATGAGAAAGAACTGTTGGGCTTGAAGTGCCCTGAACTTGGCTGGGTTAGATAGTCTTAAAAGACTTACATTCTCCATTTTCATTGTAGCTGCTGTTGCATGTTCATCTATTTAACAAGCATTTCTTAAGGACCTCTTATATGCTCAGCCCTGTGCTTGATGATATTGGTAAAATGACAAGTATTCCAAAACGTTGCCAGTTCTAACTTATAACTTTTTAATAAATAATTCCCATATCAGGCCATATATCCCAAATTTTTTTTGAAACAAATGGGCACTATATTTGTTAGGAATTCATGAGATGATGAAGGCAGTCTGTACCCTCAGGATCTGGCAGTCTTCTTAGAAGCATTGTCCCAGTCTTCAGGATAACAAGATAGTACTACAAGTGCCCTCTTCAATAGTATGAGACTCCTAAGTGCTATTACAGGATTTCAGAGAGGAGATGACTATCAGAAGGAGTAGTCAGAAGGGGAGATTTCATGGGTGGGGTAGAACTTGACTTAGACCTCCAGGACACATTGGAATGGACTCACAGAAAAGAGGAAAGGTATTCCTAGAGGGTACTCACCATAAACAATGGAGTGGCCTAGACTAGAGAATAAACTGAGGGATCAGGCCTGGTAGGAGCAGGTGTGTTTAGGACATGAGGGAGAGAGAAGGAAAGAGGGTCAATTCCAGCCATGCTGAAGAAAGTTCCTGATGTCAGCCTGGCAAATGTGGGTGTTATTCTGTGGGCAATGAGAAGAGAAGGTGAGCCTCAGACTCCCGGGGCTCACATCCCAGTTGCGTTAGTGACTGCTATATGAACCTGGACAAATTAGCTGACTTAGTTGTGCCTCAGTTTCCTTGTAGAAAATTAGGAATGTTGATAATAGTATCTACCTCATAGGGCTGTTGTGAGGTTTAAGAGAAATACTGCATAATAGTGTCCATCATGTTACCTAGAATATATAGTGGTAGCTATAAATTTTTTAGAGCAATAAGGTGACATAATTACGGAAGGAGTTTAGAAGGATAATTAAGTAGCCATGGAGAAGATAGATTGGAGAGAGAAGAGACTAAAGAACTGGGAGACTGGACCAGCCGAGTGGCGCGTTGGTTAAGAGCTGGCTTGGGATGCCAGAGGGCCCCGGTTCGGATCCCACATATGAGGGCCAGTGACACTGCCCTCTACAGCTAAGATGCTGAACAACAGCTCAACCTGGAGCTGGGCTGCCATAAGTTCCCAGCGACGCTGTAGGCTGCAGCCCCGGCTGCAGTGGGTTGCCATGGGCTACCGTGTGTAGCCAGCAGCCAGCGTGAGCAGCTAGCAGCCTCCATGAGCGGCCGTCCAGAAGCCAGCAACTGATCTGCCTCTCCCAGGAAGAGCGCAATGATGGTGCCAACTTGGGCCAGTGAAGCAACTGTGGCCTCCACAACTAGACTGAAGAACAAAAGGACAGCAACTTGTTTGTTCCCCTTCCCCCAATTCCCCAGTGCTGTTCCCATCCCCAAATTCCCCAATAAAAATGTTAAAAAAGAAAAGAAAAGAAAAGAAAAGAATGGGGAGACTAGTCTAGTAGTGTAAGCAGGAAATGATGCAGGCCTGAGCAGAGTTGTTCAAGAGAAGATGGTGACTCTTAGCTGCCATGAGGGAAAAAATGATGGGTCTTGATGGCTGACTGGATGGAGTGGTCTCTAGCTGGCTTATTGGGAGTGGGTGTTTCAGCGCCAGGGCTCAGATCAAGCCTCGTGGATCCTATGAGAGTGCTTGGAAGAAAGGGAAAGAAGTGTTGGTATTCTTGCTATGACCTGTGAGAGGTTGGGGATTATAGATACAATGGGTGCCTTCTAATGTGGTGGCAATAAGGACATTTCAAAGGCCCCCTGCCTCTTTCTATCCAAAATCCTCTTACTAGAACAGTTTTAGGCAATGTTATTATGAAAAGGCCATGATACTAGAAAGGCTAACACTTCTGCTTTCCTGGTAGTGGAGCTGAAAATGGGCCTTAATAGGCGGGAGGGGAGATAGGTGGCCAGCATCGGAGCCTCATGGAAAACAGGGTATAGGAAGAGAAACAGTTTTAATGTGGGTGTAGGGCTCAGGGTGGGGTATGTCACAGGAGAGGAGAACTAACAGAGGAAGTGGGGGTGTGCTGAAGACACGCTCAGCCCATTTCGCAGCTTGCCTCAGAAGCGCCCTCTTTGACATCACCATTGGCACACTTGGCAGCCCTTAGGCTTAATAGAGCATTTCCCCTGTGCTGAATCCAAGCTCCAAATGCTCACTGCCTTTAATACAAATGTTAGACAAACTGAAGTCACATGCATCTTTAATCCTGTCAGAACATAATCAGAATCCCAGCTGGGAGGAGAGGAAGCATGGGAGTGGAGCCATGTTGTTCGGTAGAATGTAATGATGCTGTTTGAGAAGGAAAACAGCTTGGCCTTGAGCACTTTTACAAACATTAACATCTTACCCTCTGGGTAAGAAGGGTTCTGGGAAACAAACAACTACCCCCTCCTTCAAGTCCCTCCCTGTGGGAGTTCCAGCCAGCCCAGAGTGACTCTGACCCCTGAGTGAGCCCCAGAGCTGATCCCACCCGAAAGTTAACTCCAGGTAAGAAGGAAGCCAAGTCTAGGCGAGTAACCTGGCCTAGCCCCCTGCACCCCCCTCACCGCCACCACCATTTCTCCGGGTCTCCAATCCCCGGAGTCGCCTAAAGCCCAACCTCCTCTTTGGACTTGGGTGTTGATCCTCCCTTTTCTTCAGGAAGCCAGTCCTGTGAGGATGAGGGTGAGCGCCCATAGAATAGACCAGATGCTGTTAGAAGACTCAAAGCTTCTAGAAAGAGTAAGTCCAAAAGGGGGTGAGATGAAAAAGAGGTTGAGAAGGCCTCAGACGCTATGTATCAAAGTGGTTCTAAGGCCCAGACTGCCTACACCTGTGCCCCAGCAACACCCCAGACATCAGAAACCTCTGAACTAGATCCCACTGGATCCCATGAATCCTGCTGCAGCCATGCCACAGAGCCTCAGGATTTCTCTTTGGAATCTGCTTAGAGTTTTGTTTTTATCTCTTTTGCATTTTTGTCTTGCAGAGTGGAACACTTAAGGATCCGGATTCGAGCAAGACCCCACCTCAGCGGCCAGCCCCCCAAGGTTGTTTACAGTATATTCTCGACTGTAATGGCATTGCAGTAGGGCCAAAACAAGTCCAAGCTTCTTAAAGTGATTGGTAGTTAATTTTTCAAATCAGAAATTTTAAGCCAAAAACAAATAAGGAAAGAAAGGAAAGTGGGGAGGGGAGCAACAGACCCTCCCATTGGTGCCGTTTCTGCGTTCTTTCAATGCTGACTGGACTGTGTTTTTCCTATGCAGTGTCAGCTCCTCTGTCTGGTTGTTTACCTGTTCCTGTTCGTGCTTGTAATGCTCACTTATGTTTCTCTGTATAACTTGTGATTCCAGGGCTGTTTGTCAACAGTGTACAAAAGAATTGTGCCTCTCCCAAGTCCAGTGGATGGTTTGATAGTATTTTTTTAAAGTATTACATAATGGGGGGTGAAATAGGAGTAGGGTGGGGTGGACAGGGGAGAAACAGAGACCACAAAAATAAAACCCAACTCCTCTCCTTCTCCCCGCTCCCAGGCTCAGATTGAACAACCCCTCACCCCCTGCTTACCTCCACGAATGTGCTTGGGATTTCAATGAACTGTGCTTTTTGCTTCCTTTCTGCATGACTAGGGTAAATAGATAGAAGTTTAAGAGATTTTCAAGGTCTAATTTCCATAGTTTCATCCGTTGAATCTGAAGTCATCCACCTTTTTCTCTATTCGCTAAAATTTGGTACAGTTTGAGTTTCTGTGAATAGGCTGGCTGTGCCTGTAAAGCTCTTGTGTTTTTCGTGATGACATGAAATATAAAAAACAAGCTATTTCCAGGAATGCGTTCTGTATTTTACATCCCAGTGTACCCTTTGTTTTTATTATTAACTAATAAGCTATGAGATTAGACAAAAAAAATGGGGCCGCTGATGTGCAATATCAAAGTGAACTTGTATTTTCTGCGTGTTGATCTCAGTCCCCTTAAGTTGTTTCTTCTTTGTTGCCCTTTCTGAATTGGCCATGTGTGCACTTCTGTAGAACTTGAGAATTCTGCTTCATATTCTGCAGAGCTTGACCTGTGTACAGAGATGATTTTTTAGCAATTTTGGACATAGAATGCAGGGAACTACTGAAAGTCCAGGAAGGATTCAGCCATTCTGCCCTTGGCCTCTCCTGAGGCATGATAACACGAGACCAAATCAAAAATGCCCCATTTCACTTGAGTGGGTACACTGCCTACAGAACTCTTAGGGGGGACTCTTCCTTTAGTTTTCAGCTGTTAAAAGAGCCCTCCGGAGTCCAGACAATGAAGAGCTTGATCTTTCCTGGTAAGAACTGTCTCAGAGTTTAGCTTGTGTGTGTTTGGAGCAGAGGCTGCACAGCTGTGGTTCTTCAAGAACCCTCACCAGTTCTCTTTCCTCCAACACACAGCTCCAGGGTAACAATGAGGTTGTTCATTAAACCAGGCCTCTGGCTCAGTGCCTCATCTTGCCATCTTCTGGACAGGCTGGGTATGGGCACCAGGCGGCCTCCTCTAGCACCATGGTCCATGGGAGTTCATGCCAGCAGTTTGCCCTGGCTCTACGTGTACATTCCCTCTTGCTTCTATACCAACACGTCCCCATTCCAGGTCGCCGGGTCTGAGGAATAACTGGTGTTGCTAGTATGTAGCGTGATTGGTGTGTCAAGGGGCGCTGCCCTGGTTTCTCCTTTGGTTGCTGGCAAATTCTGAGGCTACAGGGAAATGCACTGAGAGCGAATGTTCTTGTCTGTAATCCCTCCTGTAGATGATGATGGTAGTCGGTCTATTGTAAATATATACATGTCTGCATTTACGTACGTCCAGGTGGGTTGCATAAGAATCAGGTCCTTAAATACACCCCTACTCCCCCACCCCCCCATCTGATGAAATGATAGAAAGGAATAAAGCAACATTTCCCAGAATGGACGGATACATTTTATTTATTTTAATTTTTTTGTCCAAGTGGTGAGCTGATGGTGGTGTTGCTTCTCTGCATGTTACCAGTGTGAACATGTAGGTGCTTTTCACGTGACATTTGTGAACCATAAATACAAAGTTACCATTTGAATTTAGTCAGGCTCCAAGGTCGTGTCAGCCAAGGTCTCTCAGGTGGGGGAGAAACTGCCAAACACAAGCAGACAGCATAACCTGACTGTCATGTGCCCTCAGGCAGCATGCTAAGGGACAACTCTGTGGCCTGGGGGACATCCATGTCACAGTATAGGATTGCCGTTCAGGTGTTTTGTACCCATTTCTTTTCTCATGTTGTCCCCTTTTTTTGTACCGATCCAGCTGGGAAAACCTCAGCCAATGCTGGAAGTGTGATTGAAGTACCTCTTTTTTGTGACTCTTGTACAGCTTAATGTGCAATAAAGGAAAAGTTATATCTGTCTTCAGTGTTAAGTTGTAAAGTTTCTGGATATTCAAGCATCTCTGTAGAGGTGGGAAAGCACTCAGATTTCTGGTACAAGATGCTGAGCTATCAACCTGCAGTACTTTATAAGGGAATGCTGAAACAAATGGTGCCAAACTTTGGAAAAGGCAAAAACTGGTTAATATGAAATAATATGCTCATCTGTCATCTTCACTAATTATCTAATTTGAACTTGGAACTTCTTAAACATGCAGAATTCCATTTATTTGTTCATTTATGTATTTATCTGTAATTAACCCTGGTATTAATTGGTAATTGATGATAAAGTGGAGCCTGTGCCATGTAGTGGGGAAGTGGGCTGACAGTCATGGGTGCACAGTGATGTAGACATAGAACTCTGCCTTTCCCGAGGGTACAGGTGTTCTGGTGTTTCTAGAAAACGGAGTTACAGCACAACTAACTCTTAGCTGCTGTTGAATTTCTATAAGCCCTCTCCTTCCAGTAGGCCCATGGATGTGTGGCCTCTGGGATTGAGACTGAGAAATTGTATCTTCCAGGCCCTTAGGCATCATTTCCACTAGTCCATATGTGCTGATGGGGACATCTTTTGACTTATGAGTGTAGGAACCCCCTCAGCAAAATCTGAGCAATGTGGTACCACACTTGCTGCGTATCAGCCCCCAGAGGAAGGATGGCCTTTTTTCTCTCCAGGCAGCTAGATGGTTTTCTGTCTCATGCTGGGAGAAAGGTATTCTGGTCCTCTTTGGAGGGACTCTTCTGTGCCAGATGGTGCCCGAAACATCCCCAGGGGAAAACGGGGCTTGAATTTCTAGAGAATTTCACCATACTTGCCTGAAAGGGACTAAAGCCCCAGAGGATGCTACTAAGAGGCAAAAGAGTACCTGGAAACAGAAGATTCATCCCAGTCATGAGCATGAGCTAATGCTAAAAAAGGAAGCCCTGGCAGGGTGGGGTGGGCAATCAGATGCAACTAGGCAGGAGACGGCCAGCTCCATAAAAATAATGTAAGTCAGTGATCAGCAATAATTGTAAAGCACGGAATACTTTTTGAAGACCTTTCTCATCCATTATCATCTTTGAAACACTACCATCTTGAAAGATAACTAAAACTAGGACTTACTTTGCAACAGTTTTATGGTTGGAAACACTGAAGCCCAGAGAAGTTTCCTGACTTGTTCAAGGAGTCACTAATTGACTCTGTCTTGGGTTTTCTGATTCCCAGACCAGTCTTTCCACCACCCTGTACTGTCTGCTGTGTGGAACTTGAGACCTTCCAGTAAACATGGGGCAGGTTGGCCTGTACCTGAGGAACCTCTGGGGAAGGGGAGTGGGGTCTTCTGTATGAGAGCTTAGCTCTGATGGCGGCCGGTCACCGCATGTTTTATTCCCTGTCCTCCCGACTTCTGCTGTGACCGAGGTGCTGTGTCTCTAAGGAGAAGCCAGTAGTGGCAACATAGGAGGGCAGCCAGGGACTGGCTCTGGAGTCCCTCAGAGCCTCGGTTGGCTTCTTGTAATAGAGCTTATCCTTGAAGTAATTAACTAACCACACCCTTTGAAACATAGATTCTAACAAGTAAACCCTTTGATATGGTTAAATTATGAAGTTTTTCTTGTACTAAACCTAGGGGGCCCTGGGCAACCCCAAGGAATGCAACCCCCAGGCAAGGTGCTGCCTCCACGCCGGCTCCCCCCTGGACCATCAGTGCCACCTTCCTCCTCTTCCTCCTCCTCCTCTTCCTCCTCCTCCTCGGCTCCTCCTCGGCCGGGCGGCCCCACCACCCACGGAGATGCACCCTCCAGCAGCAGCTCCCTGGCAGAGGCCCAGCCGCCCCCGGCTGCTACACCACAGAAGCCCCAGCCTCACCCACAGCTCAAGTAAGAGACGACTCAGCAGCTCCCTCCCCGCCCCTCTTCCTGCCCCTCCGCGCGGGCCTTGGGCTCCAGAGCTGCTAGAAAACACCTTCAGTCAGGCCTCCTCCTGCAGATACTTTTGTGGGGTTTTTTTTGGGTTTTGGTTTTAGGTTTTTTTTGGTTTTTGGTTGGGGGCCTGTTTGGGGTTGATTGGGGAGCATAGGAAAGAGGGAAGTGAAAAATCTAAGATCTAGCTAGAAGGTCAAACCCTCCCCTTTCTCCTGGGGAGTGGCAATAAAACAGAGTTACCACCTGTCTCCTATTCTTATACTAGCTTAGGGTTTTTTGTGTGTGTTTTTAAAAATCCTGTCTCCTACTCTTTTTTCCATTCCTTTTCTGTGTGTGTGTGTGTGTGTGTGTGTGTGTGTCTCTCTCTCTCTCTCTAAAAATTAAAAAAAAAAAAATTCTCTTTCCTGCCTCTGACTCACAGTTTAGGGTGTGCAATCAGCAAAGCTGCCCAGAAGGAAAAGGGGGAAGTAGTTAAATCCATTTCAACTTTTTACCCTCAGCCTTGTTGGAAGGAGGTCAGTTTCTGGTGTGGTCATCAGAGAAGGGCCCAGATGAAGACCCCATTCCCTCATTCCCAACAATCACCCTAAAAGTCCCCATTACACTGTCCTGCTTCTGAGGAAGAACTGAGGACCTCTAGGAAATAGTACAGCTGGACGGAGGAGGGACAGCACCTGGGTGTGGATGGTGGTCAGTTCTGCCCTCTCCCCCAGAACCAGAGATGCCTCTCTTTGATTTTCTCAAACAGCTTTCTGTTGCACTGTCAGCACAGACGGCTGTAGCCTTGGGGAAACGGTAGAGATCCATCCATGCTTCTCAGAGTAAAATGATGAGAATCTTCAGGGAGGAAGAAAAGAGGGCCGTAGAATTTTAGAACTCAAACAATCCACTTAGAGATAGTCTAGTCATTGCATAGATGAGAAAACACGGCTCAGAGGATTCGATTAATTTTCTTGTTCAAAGCCACTCTGCTAATTAGGATTAGGGCTCAGGTGGTCCAGATGGCCACTTTCTCTGGGTCTTCAGTGCTACATGACAGGAGGAACACCACTTGCTCCTGCTTCCCAGCTCTGGCCAGTGGCATGTTTCATATCTCACTTGTCCCATAACCTCCCCCTCACTCCAGTTTTTTCTGCATAGTGACTTTTTAATCTCTCCTACCTTCTCATTAGCCAGCACTGGCCTAAGTCTGAAGGCAGATCTTTGGGTTGTCACTGCCTCTGGGCTGAAGTTGTTGAATAGAACCAGCCTCGATGACAAGCGGGAGGCTTATATCTGGTGCCCTCAGCCTGTGCGTGCAGAGGAGTCCCCTCTTCCAGAGACCAGCGTGTTGGGGCTCATCCCCAGCCCGAACGAAAGGCAGGGCATCTGTTCACAGTCACTGCAGGATGAGAAAAACTGCTCACGCACACTTCTGTAGAAGGGAGTTTCTGGGGCTGCACCCTGAATTTAGAGGAGGGCTGGGAGTTCTCAGACACCTGGAGAAGAGCACTGGAGCCAGGAGCCAGGAGGAAAGAGACACAGTAGAAGTCAAGGAGGAGAGAAGATGGGCCACTGGAGACACCAGACCTCATGTCCTCTTCTGGAGTGCTGGGCTCGGCCTCCCCTCCACCTTCTTGCCTTCACAGTTTTTCTCTCTGAATCACTAATCTCTCAAGGGAAAAGTTGGTCCCTAAAATGAGTGTGATTTGGGTTTTTTCATTAGAAAACTGCCAAATAACCTTGCATAGGCCTGATATGTACAGTTGTCCTCAGTATCCACAGGGGACTGGTTCTAGGACCCCCTGCAGATACCAAACTCCACAGATGCTCAAGTCCCTTATATAAAATAGTGCAGAATCTGTATATAACCTATATTTGCATATAGGCTACCGCAGGGTATGCCTACACATCTTTATTTGCATGGATTCAGTGTAGTGCTTGGTTTGGCAAATTCAAGTTTGCTTTTTAGAGCTTTCTGGGATTTTTTTTTTAATATGTTAGATCCGTGGTTGGTTAAATCTGTGGATGCAAAGGGCTGACTGTATCTCTTGCCCCTTGACACCCTGAATCCCACAGATGTCATATTAGGGCTCCTCTGAGCAAGGCTGCAAAGGGTGGTTACATCCTCTTTAAGAACAGGTAAACTGAGCATTAGAGTCTGTGCCAAGCCAAAAGGTTCTTTTGGAATCAAAGAAAAAAACAAAATAGAGCTGAAAAGGCCTAAAGATCGTTTTACCAAACATCTACATACTGCAAATAAGAAACCAAGTACCAGAGAGGCACATGGCTTGCCTAAGGTTAAGAGTGAGTGAGTGGCAGAACTAAGACTTTGACCCAGGTCTTCTGATGCTGGCTCCATTATTTAACAGTTGATATTAATAGAAAAGAGAGTGCAAGAGTCCATGGCCCCTAGTTGCTTCATGTCATCAGAGGGGAAGGGTGTGAGATTCCTAGATTAGTACTTACCAAGGGCCTCTGCAATTTAGCCTGCAGGCCCTTTGGCATTAATGAAAGAAACATACTTTGAGTCACCCCTTCTTCCTCTTTCCCTTCTTCTTTCTCTTCTCTTTTTTCCCTTCTCCCTCTTTCTCTTTTTTTTCCCTTCTCACTCGCTGCCCCATCATTTCCTCTTTTAGCAGCACTGAAGGTGAAGAAAATAGCACAGGGGCCTCCCAGGGTCCTGGCAGCACAACCACTGCTGGCTCTTTCCTCTATAACCCTGGTCTCCCTGGGGTGGGAGTGGGGGTTCTGGTTGTATATCCTCATGTCATCGTCCTTCCCTGCTTTGCTGGGAGCACCACCCTCTCACGTTCTCTCTGGTTTTTATCTTGAAGCAAGTCGCAGTCCCTGACAAATGCCTTCAGCTTCTCTGAGTCCTCCTTCTTCCGGTCTTCAGCCAATGAGGATGAAGCCAAAGCAGAGACCATCCGGAGCTTGAGGAAGTCCTTTGCCAGCCTCTTTTCAGATTAGCTCTCCAGACACACGGGGGCACCCGGCCCAACGGGGGAAGGCATCCGAGACATTTGCCAACAACACTCAGCCATGCTTGGTGGTGATGTCCCATGACCTTGACTTGTGTGGCCCCTTCCTCTGCTCCGTTGTGCTAAGTGATATCGTACAGCTCAGAAAGGAACATATGAAGGTCTCAGGACAGGTGCCTAACCAGCAAGGGGCACCTGACATCAGAGAGGATAGAGCTGCTTTCCTGTAGTCCCGAGAGCTTCCTCTGAGGTCATCGTTCGCTGTGAGTTTAGTGGCCTTATTGTGAAAGTGCCATCATGTCTTATTCTTCCTCATGAAACCAGGATTCGCTTCATTGAGGACTCCTGGTAGCTTTACTTAGCTCAGATGCAGTGCTAAGCATGCCCCTCGACCCCCCTTATAGTCAGTGCTGCCTGTTTGGGGAGTATATATACGTATCCAAAAATACTCTTGGCTCTAAGTGTTAGGAACTTACCACACCTAGATCCCTTGTCACACCTGTTTAGCTGTTTAAAACACCTGCCCAGCACACGAGATTCCTCTGCTGCTGTCGTGGTGAAGCACCTTTAGTCCACTGATACTGGAGAGAACAAGGATCTGCCGTTTTCCCCTTTTCCCTCCGCTGCAGTGCGGTTCTTATGTGCGCGCTGCAGTGATCTTGAGCTCTGAAGCTGCACTGTAGAGAATGCATGCCACTGTAACAGCAGTATACCAAGTTCTGTGTTCATCTCCAAATAAATGTTAAGACCTTTGGTGTAATAAAAGCAGCAGCATTAATCGGCATTTGATTGAGCCATGAGGTCTCCCCTAAGCCACCCTTTTGACTGAAAGAGTATACATGAGGCATGTGTGTGTGTTTGCGAGTGTAGGGAAGGGAAAAGTCTAGGAGGGTGAGGCTGTGTCAGTATGTGTGTGAAGTGTGAGTATGATTGTTGGTGTATGATTGTTTCCAAGTGGATGAGAGTATGGCTGCATTAGATGCTGCTTTAGACGAGGCTTCCTGACACCTTCCCAGTGAATCAGTTTCCTCTAGGACAGCTGGACTTCCTTCAGTAACTCAGCTTTTCTACCAATTTTACTGCATTTGGAGATTTTCTAATAAGCATAGCATCCTTGCTCCAATAGCAGGCAAGTTAGACTTACTTGTGTGGTCCATCAAGCTCCTCTGCTAAAGCCCACATGGTGGTGTCAATGAGGTGGGAATGACCTGCTCCAGTGCATGGAGTCCCACAAGCCCCAGGAATCCTGGAGAACTGCGATGGAGGGTAGGCTCTGGGGGATTTCACACTGGCTTCTTCATGACTCTCTGCGACTTGAGAGTATGTTCCCCTAAACCACAAATGCTGCGAGGATAAATACCATATCTGCACAGATTTTAAAAATCAGTATATTAACATTTTATCTAGTTTCCTACATATAATATCCATTCTGCTAACGCAACAAAATAATGCTCATCCGAATACCACTATCTTGCTAACTCTCCTCACAAGCAGTAGATGCTGAGAGGTCAGAGAATGAATTTCTCTGGTGCCAGGGTCTCCTTTCTAACTCAGCTCATGCTCTCAGGGTTCAACGATCCAGATCTGTACCTTCTTCTTACACTTAAAAAGCAGGAAGTAGAACCTTCCATTGAGTGACACCTGGGGGGCGGGGGATGGCAGCCCTCCTCCCACCACAACACACGTAACTATGGAACAAACTACTCACAAACCAAATAAAAGTGTTTGCTCAAGGGAATTGATGCTCAAGGGAATTGATCTTTATGGTTCCTATTTCCAACGAAAAGCCTACCACTTGTAGTCTATCCCTGATTCCAAATATGTTTTAATAGAATGCATTCATTTCATTAAAAAGCATTTATTTAACATTTAATAGGAATATAAACATTGTGATGGATTCAAGGAACTATTTACTAACATTTCCATAGTGCTTACTAAGTTGTGGGCAGAAACAGCCCTCTTGGTGCATAACAAAGATAGCCCAGAGCCTGGAAATTTGCCCTGCACAACCATTTATTCCTTACAACAATCCTATATTATAGGTACTACTATTATTTTACAAGTGAGGAAATGGAGGCACATCAAGATACAATAACTGGTTTGTGGTGGAGCTGAGACTTGAAGCCAAGCAGTGTAGCGGCAGAACTCATGGCCTTGACTGCTTCGCTATATAACTTTTACTTAATCTAGCAGAGGCAACAAGATTTCATTTTATTAAATTGTACATAACATGGTAACAAAATAAGAGATGTACATAAAAATTCTTCACACGTATACCCGTGTCTTTCCTTCACCTATCTATCCATTGGACCCAGGGAAAGCAGGGGTGGGAGAAGCTGGAATACTTGTTACCACTGTTTACCCCTTATCCTAGAACCATGAGTAACATACACACGGTATCTTATTGTGATCAAAATATAATTCTGATTCTTAAAAAATTACTCATTCTTCCACATTTGATGTCAGATCAAAAACCACAACTGTCTTATTTAGAAAATGAGTCAGCCTGGAACTGCTGGGGTGACAAAAAGGGGAGGAATTTACCATAGGTCATGCAGCACCCTAGTACAAAGGACACATGGATTCTATCCAACCCTTAGTAATGGGATAGGGCCAGATGTGAGGGAGTTCCACTCAGAAACAGCCCTCTTGGTACATAACAAAGATGGCCCAGAGCCTGGAAATTGGCCATGCACAATCATTAATAAATATTTGATGAATACCATGATAAAAAGTGATCTAAAGCTGGGATCAGTCCATTATAGATCCTGAAACCTTTGGTTTATAGGCCATTTGTGACCACTGTGCAACCATCTCTGCAGCTGATGGGATTCCCTACCCACATCTTCATCCTAGATTAATAGATAGAACGCCTCATCCCTGCCCCCATGGAACTCCCCATCTCCTTGGATCAAGATGAATTACTTCTGCTCATCATTTATTTGTTCACAGCTCTTTATTGTATTTTCACAAAGATCAATAAATTTTGTGGGAAGAATATAAAAATGAGTTAAGTAATGATTCTGCCCATATAAATAAATATAAAGAAGAAAGCGGTAAGTGCCATAAGACACATGCGGTCAAAATGTTAGTAGGTGTTGGTGAGGATATAGGAAATGGAACTCTTACACACTGCAAATGGGAACATATGTTGGTACTACGACTTCGGGGGGAGATTTGGCAATATCTAATGCACAAACCCTATGACTCAGCAATTCCATTTCTAGACATTCTCTGTAAGAGAATCTCTTGCACATCTACTCAAAGAGGCAAGTAAAAGAATATTAGTCTCTGCACCATTTGTGAAAAATGGAAACAACCAAGTGTTTCTCATGGGGGCATTAAAATATAAATTGATGTATTCATAAATTGGAATGCTATATAGGAGACAAATAACAAAAAAATTTGAGGAGTTCAAGTAAGTTCAGGTAAGATATAGAAGGAGAATGAAAAAGGTGAGCCAAGGAAGTGTAAAATGGCAAAAAGCAGTACATTGGTGTCAAGCATACTTCCAGCTGGAGTGGTCAGAGAAGGCGGAACCCTAGAGGTGGTGAGCTGTGAGCAACCCACAGAATAGAGGGAATGCCAGCTGGGGGGAGTGGGATGAGCAAGCAGTTCAGACACTGAATTGTTCAGCTGGAAGTCTCATCTACCTCTATGCTCTCATTTTACAGATGAGAAAACCGAGGCCCAGGCAACTTAAGGAGCTTGTCACTGTCATGAAGTAAGTTAGTAATAGAAGCAAATGAGTCTTAGTCCTAGGTGTCTGATGGGCCATTCGGTGGCACTGTCTTTGTGAGGTAAATGGATGGGTTTCATTTCCAGGGGCACCCCCAGGGAGGGAGAGGCTTACTGGAGCATTTCACAGGGGCACCCCCAGGGAGGGAGAGGCTTACTGGAGCATTTCACAGAGGCCAGGCAAGAAATGGGAAGAGAAGCCTGGGCTCTGAAATCAAATCTGAGTTTAAATCTCAGCTTTGCTAATTATTAGCTAATTGACTTTAAGTCACTTAGCTTTTCTATGTCTCAATTTTCTCATCTATAAATTGAGAACAATACTACCTTTCTGAGGAGTTAAAGAATTAAATGAGTTAATCTATCTCACATCTGTTGCTAACAGTAGTTGGCATGTGAGGGGATCATAGGAAACCTCTGTCTCATAAAAAGAACACAGTGTAAGCCCCAAACTCTCCTTGGCCAGGACTCTCCCAGGAGCAGTGAAAGGGCTGCTGAGCCTGCCTTTCTTCCTGTTCTGTAATCGGGTGGGCCTCTAGGGCAATGTCACCCCAACTGGTGCCTTATCCTAGGGCTCTGACTCTCGTAGGTTAAGTGGGTTAATTGAGTTGAGGTAGACACCTGGGAAGGCAAATGCTATCAGTGAATACACACACGTCCAAAACCACTGCAGCTATAGGAATGACAATACAAACCGCATATGACTCTAATGGGCTAATTTTTGAACACTCATAGCATATGATCATTCCTACAGTGGTGTGGTTTCCTTCAAGCGATTCCTTTGGGAGGCTAAACATTTATTCCAACAAGCCTGCTGCTTATGCTCAGAAAATAATTGCCCTCAGATCCGTAGCCCTCAAATTTGAATTCTGTAACTCTTGGAAGATTAGGAGTTCTTTACCTGGGAATCTGAAGATTCCGATGCAAACTGTTCTGTGTATTGCACGTTTTGGCAGGTTCTCAACACACACACACACACACACACACACACACACACACACACATTAAAAATTGTTGCTTTAAGGGAGTGAATTTTGATGTTTTAAAAAAATGCTTAAAATTCTTTTGGAGTCAACTCTATGATTAAATTAGATAATATGTAAGGTCCAAACCACAATGTGACTATAAATTAATGAGATAATTTTGTGTGGCTTGTAAACTGGTTCTCAAGGAAATTAATCCCAGAAAAGGAGTTTCATATGTTTTTAATAGTTTCTTTTTAAAATAAATGTCAAATACCATCAAGATTATTGATTTTGAGAGAGAGAAGGTATATTTCAACAGGCAATTCCTGTTGTCTGTTAAAAAATAACCTTATTACTATCTAATTCTCAAGTCATGGACTATATTCAGAATAATGTTTTCCTCCCCAAATAATCATAATCATTACCCCTTACATTTGTGTACTATTTCACAGCTCATATAGCATCTTGTAGTTTAAAGGCACTGTACGGTTTACAAAGCACTGATTCATCTATCATTTTGTTAGATTCTCACAATAGCCCATGTAGCTATCCCTCATTATGGGGGACTTCCCAGTGTCTGAGCTTTGGGCTCACACTTGAATCATACTCTTCCTTCTCTAAATCTCTTTGGACTTGAAAGCCTGTTGATTGTAAACGTGGGGAAAATAAGAAAATAATGCAGTCATTCCCTCTGATGGTCCCTCCTCTTATTTAACACCCTATCACTCTGAGAACTTGCTTTTTATCTCGCTTGGATATTGATATAGTCACACACACAAGTGCCTGTCCACTGGTCTATATTTTCAGGAATCTTTTTTTCTGTTTCATGGTCCATACTCCCAAGCCTGTCACCTTCATCAGAGAAATAACCTGAGAGAGAAAGGGGAGACGGGCATATCAGAAAGTTGTTTCAGGGACTCCACCCCACATGTAAATGAATGCTCCCCAGGGAACTCCACCCCTCTGGTCATTTTCCTGTGCCTCCATATCCATATACATCTCTGTTGATAAGCATTTCCTCTAACTCCTCCAAAACACTTCACAGCAGAAAGCCATCCCAGTGGGTCAGGTTAAGTTCAGTGAC